ATTTTGATGGTCGCTTCTTCTCGGCATTTCGACTGCTCAAGACGGCCCAAGAGGCCCCCAAGATCGCCCGAGAGGCCCCCAAGAGGGCCCCATGACGGCCCAAGTGGCCTCCAAGATGGCCCCAAGAGGGCCCTAAGACGGCCCAAGTGGCCTCCAACACGCCCAAGATGGCATCCAAGACGCCCAAGATGGCCTCCAAGACGGCCCCGAAGCGCCCCAAGAGGGTCCCCCGTTGGCCCAGAAAGGCCCCCAAGACGGCTCCCGACGGCGTCAGACGTGCCAGGAACCACCAAGATGGCAGAAGTTGGCTCGAAGCTGGCCCAAGACGGCCCAAGAGGCCCCCGAGAGGGCCTCCAGAAGGTCAGAAAAAGCAAACAACCTTTACGTTCATTAGGTGTTTGACGGATTTTGACATTTCCTTCTTTTCGGCCTTCCGACGGCCCGAGATGGCCCAAGAGCCCACAAAGATCGCCGAAAGATCGCCCAAGATGCCTCCAAGATGGCCCCAAAACGGCCCAAGAGGGCCCCAAGGGGGCCCCAAGAGGCCCCCAAGACGGCACAGGAGGCCTTCAAGACGCCTAAGATGGCCTGCAAGACGGCCCTGGAGCATTCCAAGAGGCCCCCAAGTCGGCCCATAAAATGCACCCCAAACAGCTTCCGACGGCGTCAGACGGACCAGGAGCCCACCAAGACTGCCGAACATGGCCCTAAGATGGCCCAAGACGGCCCAAGAGGCCTCCAAGAGGGCCTCCAGGAAGGCCCGAAAATGCCAAAATCATTGATTTCCCATTGGTTTTTGAATGATTGTGGCATTTGCATTTTTTCTACCTTCCGACGGCCCGAGACGGCCCAAGTGCCCCCAAAGATCGCCCAAGAGGCCCAAGACACGACCCCAAGAGGCCCCCAAGACGGCCCAAGAGGTCTCCAAGACGCTCAAGATGGCCTCCATGACGGCCCAAGAGCCCTCCAAGACGTCCTCCGAGAAGGCCCGAAAGGGTCAAAATGGCCTCCAGACGGCCAGGATGACCTTCAAGACGCCCACGTGTTCCCCGAAGGCGTTCCAAACCGATTCGGGGAACACATGGTCCGATGCCTTGGCAGGTCTGGCCTCAACGTTCGGCTACATAGGCGCTTCCACAAAGACAGGGGGCGGCGGTGATTCGCCGTAGGCGTCTTCGATCCGCCGCCCCCTGTCGATTCATCGCAGGGGTGCCTGGCGTGATGAACCCTCTAGGTTTTGGTTGTGGTTCTTTTTCCAAAAAGAACTCCCCCTGTGGCTTCGGCCCGTCCCGCCGGCCACCCGAAGGTGCTCAATTCCCAAATTTCCTGCCCAAGACGGCTCCAAGATGGCCTCCAGGATGCCTCCAAGACGGCCAAGATGGCCTCCAAGGCGGCTAAGATGGCTTTAAGATGCCTCCAAGACGGCCCAAGAGAGTCCAAGACGGCCCAAGAAGGCCCAAGAGGCCCCCCAGAGGCCTCCCAGACGGCCCAAGAGGCCTCCAAGAGGTCCTCCAGGAGGGCCCGAAGAGGCCAACATCATTGATTTTCCTTGGTTTTTGAAGGATTTTGGAATTTCGCTTCTTCTCGGCATTCCGACGGCTCAAGACGGCCCAAGAGGCCCCCAAGATCGCCCAAGAGGCCCCCAAGAGGGCCCCATGACGGCCCAAGTGGCCTCCAAGATGGCCCCAAGAGGGCCCCAAGACGGCCCAAGAGGCCTCCAACACGCCCAAGATGGCCTCCAAGACGCCCAAGATGGCCTCCAAGACGGCTCCGAAGCGCCCCAAGAGGGTCCCCCGTTGGCCCAGAAAGGCCCCCAAGACGGCTCCCGACGGCGTCAGACGTGCCAGGAACCCACCAAGATGGCCGAAGTTGGTTCGCAGCTGGCCCAAAACGGCCCAAGAGGCCCTCAAGAGGGCCTCCAGGAAGCCCAGAAACGGCCAAAAATATTGATTTTCCTGAGGTGTTTGACGGATGTTGACATTTCCTTCTGTTCGGCCTTCCGACGGCCCGAGACGGCCCAAGAGCCCCCAAAGATCGCCGAAAGATCGCCCAAGAGGCCTCCAAGACGGCCAGGATGACCTTCAAGACGCCCACGTGTTCCCCGAAGGCTTTCCAAACCGATTCGGGGAACACATGGTCCGATGCCTTGGCAGGTCTGGCCTCAACGTTCGGCCACATAGGCGCTTCCAAAAAGGCAGGGGGCGGCGGTGATTCGCCGTAGGCGTCTTCGATCCGCCGCCCCCTGTCGATTCATCGCAGGGGTGCCTGGCGTGCTGGACCTCTCGGTTTTGGTTGTGGTTCTTTTTCCAAAAGAACCCCCCCTGGCGCTTCGGCCCGTCCCGCCGGGGTCCCGGGAGGCCCTTCCAGGAGCGCAAAGTCCCGAACATATCTTCCAAGACGGCTCCAGATGGCGTCCAAGATGGCCAAGATGGCCCAAGATGGCCTCCAAAATGGTCCAAGATGGCCTCCAAGTCCGCCCAAGATGGTCCCAAACGGCCTCCAAGACGGCCCAATAGAGTCCAAGACGGCCCAAAACGGCCCACGAGGCCCCCCAGAGGCCTCCCAGACGGCCCAAGAGGCCTCCAAGAGGTCCTCCAGGAGGGCCCGAAGAGGCAAAAATCATTGAATTTCCATCGGTTTTTGAAGGATTTTAGAATTTGCTTCTTCTCGGCATTCCGACGGCTCAAGAGGCCCCCAAGATCGCCCAAGAGGCCCCCAAGAGGGCCCCATGACGGCCCAAGTGGCCCCCAAGATGGCCCCAAGAGGGCCCCAAGACGGCCCCTCCAACACGCCCAAGATGGCCTCCAAGACGCCCAAGATGGCCTCCAAGACGGCCCCGAAGCGCCCCAAGAGGGTCCCCCGTTGGCCCAGAAAGGCCCCCAAGACGGCTCCCGACGGCGTCAGACGTGTCAGGTACCCACCAAGATGGCCGAAGTTGGCTCGAAGCTGGCCCAAAAGGGCCCAAGAGGCCCCCAAGAGGGCCTCCAGCAAGGCCAGAAGAGGCCAAAAACATTGACTTTCCTGCGGTGTTTGACGGATTTTGACGTTTCCTTCTTTTCGGCCTTCCGACGGCCCGAGACGGCCCAAGAGCCCCCAAAGATCGCCGAAATCGCCCAAGAGGCCTCCAAGACGGCCAGGATGACCTTCAAGATGCCCACGTGTTCCCCGAAGGCTTTCCAAACCGATTCGGGGAACACATGGTCCGATGCCTTGGCAGGTCTGGCCTCAACGTTCGGCCACATAGGCGCTTCCACAAAGACAGGGGGCGGCGGTGATTCGCCGTAGGCGTCTTCGATCCGCCGCTCCCTGTCGATTCATCGCAGGGGTGCCTGGCGTGCTGGATCCTTTCGGTTTTGGTTTTGTTTTTTTTCCAAAAGAACTCCCCCTGGCGCTTCGGCCCGTCCCGCCGGGGTCCCGGGAGGATTGCCCAGGAGCGCAAACTCCACGAAAAATCCCCCCTGAAACGGCCGTTTCACTCGGGACATCCTCAAACAATCGCGAAGATGGCCCAAGATGGCCTCCAAGTCCGCCCAAGATGGTCCAAGACGGCCTCCAAGACGGCCCAAGAGAGTCCAAGACGGCCCAAGACGGCCCAAGAGGCCGCCCAGAAGCCTCCCAGACGGCCCAAGAGGCCTCCAAGAGGTCCTCCAGGAGGGCCCGAAGAGGCCAACATCATTGATTTTCCTTGGGTTTTTGAAGGATTTGGGAATTCGCTTCTTCTCGGCATTCCGACGGCTCAAGACGGCCCAAGAGGCCCCCAAGATCGCCCAAGAGGCCCCCAAGAGGGCCCCATGACGGCCCAAGTGGCCTCCAAGATGGCCCCAAGAGGGCCCCAAGACGGCCCAAGAGGCCTCCAACACGCCCAAGATGGCCTCCAAGACGCCCAAGATGGCCTCCAAGACGGCCCCGAAGCGCCCCAAGAGGGTCCCCCGTTGGCCCAGAAAGGCCCCCAAGACGGCTCCCGACGGCGTCAGACGTGCCAGGAACCCACCAAGATGGCCGAAGTTGGCTCGAAGCTGGCCCAAGACGGCCCAAGAGGCCCCCTAAGAGGGCCTCCAGGAAGGCCAGAAACGGCGAAAAACATTGATGTTCCTGAGGTGTTTGACGGATGTTGACATTGCCTTCTGTTTGGCCTTCCGACGGCCCGAGATGGCCCAGGAGCCCCCAAAGATCGCCGAAAGATCGCCCAAGAGGCCTCCAAGACGGCCAAGATGACCTTCAAGATGCCCACGTGTTCCCCGAAGGCTTTCCAAACCGATTCGGGGAACAGATGGTCCGATGCCTTGGCAGGTCTGGCCTCAACGTTCGGCCACATAGGCGCTTCCAAAAAGGCAGGGGGCGGCGGTGATTCGCCGTAGGCGTCTTAGATAATGCCCACAGGGCCTCGCCCCCCCCCAAACCAAAACCAGCACACACGCCACAAGAACCCGATGGCAACTCAACATAACCCCCAGGACCGCCAGGTTGCTTTTACCACTTCTGTAGACTCGCTGGGAGCGTCCCAGATCGGCGGCACAGGCCGAAAGCCACTGCAATAATGGTGTGCCGCGACAGCGAATGCTCTCAGTGCCGACCTTTGTCGCCCACGCTCGCATTCGAATTGTTAAACGTAAGCCCAAACTTATTGAACACGTCGTCGAGCACGATTACCGCTCTTTACCACTGCTCGCCTTCCTCGCACGCGGTGGATACAGCAGTGTACATCACAGCATCCGTATCACATCTGGCCGTTTCCAGGTCGCGTGAAAGCCATAATGCATGCTCCCACTTCCCGCTTGTCACTGATGCTCTGATCTGGGCGCTGTAGCTGGTGGCAGTGGGCTCCAACTTCGCCTCCCACATATCGCTGAACAGGTCCAGCCCCCGCTGCCACTGCAAACCTTTCCCGCATGCGCTGATCCCAGCAAGGTATGCGATGGCATCGGGCAACAAGTTCGCCTCCCGCATCTCGCTCACCAGCGCCAAAGCCCGCTTCCACTGCCAGCCCCTCTCGCACGCCTTTATCCCGGCGCTGTAGCTGATTAGGGCAACTGTAACGCTGAAGCCATGTGCAAATTTTACTAAACCAAAACAAGCTGCACAGTACGCCTGATCATGCCAGGTAAGGCCTGATCAACACCAAGCCAAAGAAATATCAGGGCCCAAGGAGCTGCGACCTAACAGGAGGTAGGTCGGGATAGGTTTCCAGGGAAGTCTTCAGGGTGGGTAACTGAACTGGCCGAGAAGCAGGTTTCATGCCAGCGCGTAAGCCTCAACCCATACACAGGGATTCGCTGAGCCGTCGAACGTCCGCAAGGAAGGCAGGGTACTGAGCTTACTCAGCGCCAGCTGCGCACTGCAGCGAGTGGTCGCTCGCGCCCGGGGAACCCTGGTTGCTCAGGAATGTGTACGTGTGGGGGGGGGGGGCATGCAACGAACACTGCATCGCCTGGATTTCAGGGAGGGGGAGGTGGAGGTGGAGGAGGAGGGGGAGGAGGAGGAGGGGGAGGAAGAGGAGGAGGAGGAGGAGGAGGAGGAGGAGGAGGAGGAAGAAGAGGAGGAGGAGGAGGAGGAGGAGGAGGAGAGGGCGGCAAATTCGAGGGGACTGGCGGGCCTGCACGGCCGAGCATCAGCGCACAACCAACTCAAGCGGAGCCCGAGTGACACATGCCGCCATGCGTGGGCCCCACAAGAGAAAACCTTGGGCGCGGTCCGTCGGACTGGCATCTGGGGGGAAACATCGACCTGGCATCGGCGATACCTCGACGATGGATCGGCGAGAAGCCCCGATAGCACATCCCCACCTTCCTGGGCGTGAGCAGTGTTTTCGGTGCTCCTCGTGTGTTCGTTTCCCCTCGATCGGCCTTCGTTCCGCCTCTGCTGCAAAACAAAATCAAAACGAGAACGGTTCACGCAACCTCCCAAACGCCGATTACCCCGCGCTCTGCTATAATCGCCAAGCATCTATACTGCCAATCGCAGACCCTGGACGATGGTCCTGAGTCCCCCGAGCGGCCTCAAACAGGCCTTGATAGCATATGCATGAAGCCTTCGGGAGAAAACCTATCAACACTGTAGATGAATCAAATAACTCCGCATTTCACCCTTTTGATGCCCAAGAGGCCACAACAGACGCAAATCCGCCGACCCAGCGTGTGAGTTTCTGAGAGCGTGGACTTGAACTCGCTTAAGCTTCGCTCTGCAAGGAGGGGGGGACGCCATTCCCGACGCCATTCAGCGCTCGGGAGCCAGGGGGGTCGCTCTGCAAGGGCGGGGGGGCGTGGACTTGAGCTCGCTCAAGCTTCGCTCTGCCAGGGGGGGACCGCCATTCCCGACGCCATTCAGTGCTCGGGAGCTGGGGGGGGTTCGCTCTGCAAGAAGGGGGGGCGGAGCGCCATTCCCGACGCCAGTCAGTACTCGGGAGCGGGGCAGGCGATCTCGCCCTGCAAGGGGGCGGGCGGGGACGCCATTCCCGACGCCATTCAGTGCTCGGGAGCGGGGCAGGCGATCTCGCCCTGCAAGGGGGCGGGCGGGGACGCCATTCCCGACGCCATTCAGTGCTCGGATTCGCTCTGCAGGGGGGGGGGGGGCAGGGGGAGCGCACGCCCTTCCCGACGCCAGTCCCGGCCCTGGCCCCGGCCCCCTGCATGTCCAAGCACCGGCCCCAGCCCCGGCCCGCGGCCCCGGCCCGCGGCCCCGGCCCCGGCTCCCGGCCCTGGCCCCGGCCCAGCCCTGGCTCCCGCCCTGGCTCTGGGCCGGGCCCCGGCTCGCGGTCCCGGCTCCAGCCCCAGACCCGGCCCCGGCCCTGCTTCCGGCCCCGGCCTCGTCCTCGGCCGACCTTGCCCCCGGCCCCAGCCCGAGTCCTGGCCCTGGCCCCAGCCTCAGTCCCAGACCCCCTCGAGTAATGAAAAAATCATGACGGGAGGTTTTTCCTGATTTTCGGCCTCCGGGGGCCCTCACCGGGCCTCGGAAGCGTCAAAAAACGACTCAGGATGCAAAGCCGGTCATGGGGAAAGGGTCGGGACCTCTGGGGGTCGACGTAATGAAAAAATCATTACGTCGGGGGTCTGGGGTTCCGTCAGGCGAGATTCTGCTTAAGAGCCTGTTGGTACTCTCGAAGAGCCCATCGGGGCCATCCAAATACCATCTGGAGATGCCCTTGGGCCTGCTGGCGAAGTCGTCCCATGGGGCCGCGGGGGCAGGAACAACCGTAGCCCTCACCTGAGCTCCACATCCACCTCCGCGGGGCCACCAGGGGAGCTTTCTGAGCGGCCCCTCTCGAGCGAAAGTGTCCCTACAGGTGTGGTGTGTGTGTGTGTGTGTGCGAGAGAGAGAGAGAGAGAGAGAGAGAGAGAGAGAAGAAAAAAAAAAGAGAAAAAGAGAGCGTGGTGTGCGTGTGCATGTGTGTGCGTGTGTGTTCGATGTGCGGCGCCGCCTTCTGATGCCTGGCATCCCCAGGGGTGCATGGAGGCATCCTGGAGCCTCTCTCGGGGCAATCTTTCCGCCATCGTGGGCTGAGTTCCCGTCCGCCTGGGTTCTGCACATGATTACCATCCTGGAGGCCATCTGGCCGTCTGGCGCGGCCTCGGACCGTCCTGGAGGCCGGCCTGGGTCCCCGAGGACTGTCCTGAAGGCAGTCTGGAACCGACTGGGGCAGTCTGGGAACGTGACGGGGCCGGGGCTGATGGCGACTCGGGCCTCCCTCAGACGCGCTGATCCTGGTATTGCAGAACAGACCCAGGCAGATCCGTGGTCTACCGTCCACGAACAGTAACTCGCATAGAAGGGCGAGGCTCGCGTGCTTGCTTGACTGCTTGCCTGCTGTCATGCTTGCGTGATTGTGGCCCAACAAACTGTGGCCTCCTTACCAGAATTGTTCTGCTATGCGTTACGGATCGCTCGATCCTTCGATTGCTCGTCCGCTCGCTGCCGCTTATACTCGTGATTGGTGCTGGCCGCGTGACGTTGCATGCTGCTGCTTGTTGCTCTGCGTTCTGCTGTCTCGAGGCGCGTCGGGGCACCCACGTGGCCCTCCGTGCACGCCTCCGAATCATCTGGGGACGCCTCTGGCCATCTTGAGGCTCCCCAGCGCCGTCTCGGGGATCCCCTGGAGCTCCAGAGTCGCCTTGAGTCTCTCTTGGGCCCGTCTTCGTCTCCCTTGGGGCCCTGTTGGGGGAGCACGGGGGCCGTCGGGGAGCCCTCTTGAAACGGTGCTCGGGCCGCCTCGGAGGCGGGGCAAGGCCACTGTGAAGCAAGCTAAAATGGAGAGGCCCAGGAAGCCAAGGATCCAGGTACACACACACACACACCCACGCGCGCACGCGCGCACGCGCACGCGCACGCACGCACGCACGCACGAGAGCACGCGCACACACACGCACACACACACACACACACACCACAGCAACAGCAACAGCCACAGCCACAGCCACAACCACAGCCACAACCACAACCACAACCACAACAACACCAACAACAAGAACAACAACAACAACCACACACGTCTGTTTTAAGTCGGCGGAGCAGAGGGTCCCTAAGCGCGAGCAGCAGATGGAAGACAAACACAATCACACACACACACACACACACACACACACTACACACACACGCACACACGCACACACAACACACAAACACAACCCACACAACAACTCGTACTGTCTGTTGCTGACCCGAATTCTGAGGGGCCTCTTTAGGGCGGTTCTTGGGCCTCTTGGGGCCCACCATGGGGGCTCATGTGCCCTTCGTTGGAGACCGTGGGCCCTGTGGATATGTTTCGGGAATCTCTTGGTATATGGGATCTCTGGCGCTACCGCGTGGCTACAATAGGGTGCTCAAGGCTCCGTCCTGGGAGTGTCCAGGGGTGGTCTGGCCTGGACGTACCGCTGCCGCACTGCAGTGCAGTCGAGCTGATATCGGGCTCCAGCCTCATCTCCCGCATCTCGCTGAGCAGGGCCAGGCCCCAGCGCCACTGGAAGCCCGTGCCGCACGCGCTGATCCCAGAGCTGTAGCTAATGACGCTGGCCTCCAGCTTCGCCTCCCACGTCTCGCCGAGCAGTGCCAAAACACGCTGCCACTCCGCGCCCTTCGCGCACGCACTGATCACAGCGCTGTAAGCGACGGAGTCGGGCTTCACCTTCACCTCCCGCATCTCACTAAACACCGCCAAAGCCCGCTGCCACTCCGCGCCCTTCTCGCACGCGCTAATCACAGCGCTGTAGCTGACAAACTCTGTTCTGTTAACTGACGTCCAAGAAAGCTTACTCGCATGCATGGGTGAAAAGCAGCCCTCCCTCTTGCGTGCTCTCCTGCACGCAGTGCTGCTAGCCTGCTGGCCTGACAAATCATTGCCCGACCTTCCTGCATATATGTTGGCCAGCTTGTCTGCTTGCTTGTGTTATAGCTCGCTCCTACGTTCGCTGCCATTTATGCCCCCAGGCGCTGGTTGCCGCTGTCTTGGCTCATACTTCAACTGCATATGTGTGGGTGCGGGGGGCCGGAAAGTCAGACGAACGCGCGGTTCGTCATCCACCTCCTCACCCCTGACCTCCGGGGGGACTTCTTCTAGTTTGCGCCACTAGAAGGAATCAGATTCTCAAGGCTCGGTATATCCTGCCAGGGGCTGTTGTGTTAGGTCGTCAAGGTCTGTCTGTCAATGGTCGTCATCCGGTGCGTCTGTCTAATCGTCTGCCTGGTCTGTCGCTTCCGCTTGAAGTCTGGACGCCCGAAATGGGTACGGAAAAAATTGGTACAATGCCCAACAACAAATGTTGTCCAAGACCGGCAGCGACCGCTGTTGGGCAGGCGGCCTTCTGTCTCAAACGGACACGGGCCGCGGCGGCGCGGACAGCGAGCCCTGTTCAAAACGAACAGGCACTGCTGTTGGGCATTGTACCCATTCTTTCTGTACCCATTCCATTCGTGCCGATCAAGGGGGCAATGACTTTCCAGTTCAGGCCCGCGAGGGGTGGCGCTAGCGATAGGTCGGGCATGTCCCCCACAGGCGGATTTTGCACGAAAAATGAAGAATATTCAAAAAAATCCAAAGATAGTCCAACAATACTTTAAATAATCGTCCCCATACTATTTTTTGAATGTGTTTGAGCATTCCCCCTGTAGGGGACAGGCCCGACTTAACGCTAGCGGGCGTCAGTGGCGGGCGAGCTCCCTGCGTGTTGAAGGCAGGGAGCTCGCTTGGTCCGCCGTGTGTGGACCTTGGTGGCGTTCCGCTTTCCCGCCCGCCCACCCTGGTGTCGGCGGCGACGATAGGAGCGAATAGCCCAGGGGCGGGCATTACACGTATTCGCCCGGGAGCCTTTTCGAAGACACAGATCATCGGCGCACCTGAGTACATGTATTGCTCTCCCCTGGGCTATTCGTCCCAATCGTCGCCTGTGATGGTGGGGCGTGCGCATTCTGGCCAGGTAGCCCGCGGCTCATTGCCCCAGGGAGCGTCCCTGGTCAAGGCGTGCTGGAAGACGAGCCAATGTGCACGCACGGGTGTACAAAAGACCACCAGCACGAGTGAGGAACGGGGGCGCTGCCGCTTCCTCATTCTGCGGGCTGCTGTTCTGCTGTGGTTTCTGCTGCGGGCTTTTGGCTGCTGCATGCTTCCCCTTGGCGGTGGTCCTGCCAGTGCAGGATGCTTTGCTTTGCCGTGCTGCCTGCCGCTGCAGGCTGCTGCTCCTCGTTTCGCTCTGCCCTGCCTGCTTCCCTGCCTGCTCGTGCAGCTGCTCGCCTACTGGCCGTGACGGGAGGCTTGCCGACTTGCCCGCTGACACGCTGGCCCGGCTTAGCGCTTGCCTGCTTCACTGCTTGCTTACTGGTGTCCACTCGATGCTGCTTCCTCACGCTTGCTGCTACTTGGCGCTGGTCGCTGCGTCTTGCTGCTACTGCGTGCCCGCTGCTTGCTCGTGCGCGACGCTGCCAGCTGCGGCTCGGTGCTGATGCCAGTGGTTGCTTGGTGCTGGCTGTTGCTGCTGGGGGATAGCCTCTCGGGCGGCGCCGCACAGGGCGGGCGAATGAGGACATCGAGAACCGCGCTCGCACTCGCGACTCCCAGCATCGTAAGTGTGATGACGTTGGGCTCCAACTTCGCCCCACACATCTCACTGAGCAGTGCCACCGCCCGTTGCCACTGGGCGTCCCTCGTGTCGGGCGACGGCCCCCCCTTCTCGCACGCGCTCATCCCAGCGGTGTAACTGACTGGGCCTGACCCGCGGACTCCGTCCACGAAGCCTTCACGAACTGGCATGTGATGGTGGACATTCTGCCAAAAGGCTGGCATGATCATGCGGGGCTCGAACTTCGCATTCCGCACATGCTGCTGCGTGCTGCTGCTTGCTGCCGCTGCTGCGTGCTGTTGGTGCTGCTTACCGCTGCTGCGTGCTGCTGCTGCTGCTGCTGCTGCTGCTGCTGCTGCTGCTGCTCGATGCTGCAGGGCAGTGCTTCTCGCTACTTCGGCGTGCTGTCGCAGCCTGCTGCTGGGTCAGGGTGGGCCCAAGGGAGGGGGAGGAGGAGGAGGATGAAGAGGAGGAGGAGGAGGAGGAGGAGGGAGGAGGAGGAGGAGAAGGAGGAGGAGGAGGAGGAGGAGGGGGAGGAGGGGGGGGGAGGAGGAGGAGGGGGAGGAGGGGGGGGGAGGAGGAGGAGGAGGAGGAGGAGGAGGAGGAGGAGGAGGAGGAGGAGGAGGAGGAGGAGGAGGAGGAGGAGGAGGAGGAGGAGGAGGAGAGGAGGAGGAGGAGGAGGAGGAGGGGGGAGGGGGAGGAGGAGGAGGAGGAGGAGGAGGACAGGAGGAGGAGGTGGAGGAGGAGGAGGAGGAGGAGACGTCCCAGGCCTGACGCTGGGTGGACTTTGGGGGCGTGGTGGGCATGCTGCCGCCGTCTCGACCGGCCCCCCTCTGGGCGCGTCAGGGCCGGAGGGCCGCGCGCGCCCTCGCGGCTCTCGCTGTCGAGGGCCCTCTTCGGGCTCCCTGTGGGGGGGCTCTCTCTGGCGCGCCTCTCGGGGCCCGCCCGGGCGATGCTGGGCGTCTCTTGGGCTCTCCTGGGCGTCTCGTGGACTGCCTCGGAGGCCTCTCGAGCCGTACTGAAGCTATCGTGAGCCGTCTCGGGGCTCTCCTGGGGTCCTTCTTGTTGGGCCGTCATTGGGGGTCCTTGGGTCCTCTTGGGCCGGCTTGGGGCCTTTCGAGGACCGTCTGGGGGCCGTCTTGGACAGGCTTGGGTGCCTCTGGGGCCGTCTTGGAGCCGTCTTGGGCCGTCTTGGGGCCGTCTTGGGCCGTCTTGGGCGGCTCTTGGGGCCGTCTTGGGTGCCTCGCAGGCTGTCTTGGGCGCCTCTGGGGCCGTCTGGGGCCGCCTTGCGGGGCCCTCATGGAGGCGTATTTGGGCGATCTTGGGGGCCTGTATGGCCATCGTGGGCGCGTCGGAGACGAAGAGCACGAACATGCCGAAAATGGACGTTCCCCCCAGAAAAACGCATGATTGTTGCCTCTTGGAGCTCTCCTGGGGGGTCCTCTTTGGCAGTCTTCGGAGCCTCCTGGCCTGCCTTGGGGGCCTCTGGGGCTGTCTTGGGGCCCCCTGGGGCTGCTCTGAGGCCGTACTCGCGCTCCCTCGAACCTATCAGAGCCGTCCTGAGGCCGTGTCGGGGCCTCTGGGGAAAACCCTGGGGCCGCTGCGGGGCCGGGAGGGACCCATATGCAGAAACCCTCCTCGCACGCACCCGTCCCAGTATTGCAGGAGAGACCGAGGCTCGCCAGCGCACCACTGCACACAAAATCTGTCAGAACTAGCATGCGGTACTATGGCGGGGAAGCTGCCGAAAGCCGTTCTCGCGACGACGCTGGGCCCGAGGCTCGAGCAGCGAGAAGGGAGAAAAGCGCACACAAACTGGGCAGGGAGGAGCGAGGAGGAGCGAGTGAGGAGAGAGGAGGGAGCCGTCGCGGGGCTCCCTGGGGCGGTCTTGAGGTCTCGTGGGGCCGCGTGCGGGGGTTGCTACATGTGTCCCTGGCCCACGGTGCCCCCCGCTTTTCGCTCAGCTTGGAAGGCCCGGGGGGCCCCTGGTCCTCGTGGGGGGTGCTCCTTGGAAATCCTTGGAAATCCTTGGAATTCCTGGGGGCATCCCTGGAAATCCTTGGAAATCCTTGGAAATCCTGGGGTCATCCTTGGAACTCCTGGGGGCATCTTGGGCCAGGGGCACTCCCGGCAGCACGCGAACGCGTGGAGGCAGGAGGGGGAGGTGAGGCGGGAGGGGGGGGAGCCCGTGGCCCGGAGCGAGGGCCGAGGGGCCGGGAGAGGGGGGAGCGAGCAGCGAGGGTTTGAGCGTAGGGCGAGGGGCGGGGAGCGAGATAGGGGCGAGGAGCGACGCGCCCGGAAGAGCACCGGGGAGCGGCCGAGGGAACTCCGTGGACGGCCGTCCACGCGAGCAGGACCGCACGCAGGGATTACAGTCGGGGCCTTGACCTAAGGAACCCTAAATAAGGAACGAGGCCCCTTTTTCCCATAAGTTCAACCTCGATTTACCATGGGAAACCTCAGGAAAACCCGAGGCAAACTGTGAAACATTCAAGGAACACCGAGCCCCTTCCCAACGAACAGGGTTCCTTCTTCAGCGCCCCGACTGTAGGGGCGAGGAGCGACGCGCTCGGAAGAGCACTGGGGAGCGGCCAAGGGATCTCCGTGGACGGCCGTCCACGAGAGCAGGATCGCACGCAGGGATTACTACAGTCGGGGCCTTGACCTAAGGAACCCTAAATAAGGAACGAGGCCCCTTTTTCCCATAAGTTCAACCTCGATTTACCACTGAAAACCTAAGGACAACCCGAGACAAACTGTGAAACATTCAAGGAACACCGAGCCCCTTCCCAACGAGAAGGGTTCCTTCTTCAGGGCCCCGACTGTAGGGCGAGGGGCGGGGAGAGATAGGGGCGAGGAGCGAAGCGCTCGGAAGAGCACTGGGAAGCGGCCGAGGGAAGTCCGTGGACGGCCGTCCACGCGAGCAGGACCGCACGCAGGGATCATGATCTCCTGCTGCCCACGGAAGAGGGGATCGCATGCAGTGGTCGAGATCGCCTGCCTGCTCGTCTGCTCGCCTGCTGTCCTGCCAGCCTGGCTGCGAACATGGTAGCCTGATAGCGTTTGGCCGGATCGCCTGCTCTCTGCCTTGATTTCTTCTGTGATTGCCCGTCCGATCGCTGCCGCTTCCTGATGTTTCCTGTGTGCTGCTTGACAGAGCTTGTAGACATACACACACGCTGATCTTTCTCACCGCTACGGGTTTGTGTTGGCCATTGCGTAATGCTGCTTGGTTCGGCTTGACGCTGCTGCGTGCTGCTGCTTGTTGGTTGATGCTGCGTGCGTGCTACTGTGTGATGTTGCTTGCTGTCGCGGTTGCGTGTTTTTCTTGGTCATGTTCGCCAGTGCTGCTTGCTGTTGCTGTTTGTGGTTTGTGGATGCCGGGTGCTGCTGATTGCCAGTGCTGCTCATTACTTGCCGCTGCCGGATACTGTTGTCTGCTGCATGACGCTGCTGATTTTGCTAGCTGTCGCTTGCTGTGGCAATGTACTGATGCTGCTGTTTGCGTGCTGCTGGTGTTCGCTCTTGCTGCTTGTTGCTGCAGGGTGAGACTGGACTCGCTACTCCTGCTAGCTGACCCAGCCATGCACTCTTGAGAAGATCGGAGGGCACGGATCAATGAATCAAGATCGACGAAGGAGGAGAAAATGAACGGGAAGGGGGGATCGACAGCCGGGGAGAGAGGTGCGAGGAGGGATGCGGGAGAGCCGAGGAGGGAGGAAGAACGCGGGAGGTGCATGTGGCTGGGAGAGAGGAGCGAGGAGGATTGAGAAGAGAACGTGGTGGCGCTCGAGCTCGCCCTTTTTTGGATATATATATATATATATATATATATATATATACCCCTCCATGGCTGGTGCTACGGCCGGCTCCTGCCAAGCGGTTCTGGCCGTTTTGACCTTCGGGGTGCCGTCTGCGATGCCATCGGCCTCGAGGCCTCCGCCCCAGCGTCAAGAGGGCAAGTTTTGCCCACAGGGCGGGAATGGAACAGATCGTGGAGCTCGGCGTCCGAACCTGCTTGGCAATGGTCTGGGCAGCACGAAGAAGAGCCAGCCCAGCTCGGGAGCGAGCGGCGACGTCTGCTGTGGGCGCCTGCAGCTGCGGCGGGTCGCACTTGCCGTTTTGGTCGAAGACGCTGCTGTCGCCGAGGGCGAGAAAGTGGGCAGAAACACCACATCGGCGAACGATCCCCTAACTTTCGTTCTTGATCAATGAAAACATCCTTGGCAAATGCTTTCGCAGTAGTCCGTCTTTCACAAATCCAAGATCTCCACCTCTGACAGTTAAATACAAATGCCCCCAACTATCCCTATAAATCATTACCTCAGCTCTAGAAACCAACAACATAGAACCGAGGCTGTTCCTGGCGGATCGCGCCCGGAGCACGACGTCTGCCTGGGCGAGGGGGTGCCGTTGCTGGCCTTCGATGCGAAGCTCTCGGCAAACCTGCAACAGACCCGTCGGTCGGAAGAAGTAGGTAGAGACATGAAGTAGGAAGGCGTTGGAAATAGATTGGGTTTCCGCCACGCCTCCTGAAGAGGAGGGAAGAGGGAAAACCACTCGACTCTTGAAGTAGGAGGGCGCTGAGAGCAGATTGGAATCTGGGAATCCAAAAATACCTACGTTCAACGACCGATGGGTAGCATCCTCGCGGCGCTCGTTCTGCTGGGCCAGCAACGGCGGGAATGTGTGGAGGAAGAAAAAAGCGCCTCGCGCCGTGTTGCTTGAGGAAAGCTCAAGCCTCCTTGATTTTCGATACTCATCGCCGCTGGCTGTGAGGATGCTTCGTTGGAGGCAGCCGAAAACCGATCGCTATGCTGAGAGAGCGGGAACTCTTCCTGGAGGCTGGCGGGCCAAAGCAGACTCCACGAGTGGCCGCTCCGAGAAAGATCCGGCCACCCGATTACACCTGTGCTTCCTGCCACAATCAAGCACTTCAAGACACACGATCGTGAGCGCTTTTTTATTCGGCGTTTCGACATGGGGCGGAAGGGGGGAGGGAGGGGGTGGGTCTCCTCCTCCTCCTCCTCTTCCTCCTCCTCCTCCAGACCTCTGCTTAGCGCGACTGTTTGCAACAGGGCGTCCCATTATGGGGGAGACTCCACCAGCTCGAACACAGGCGCCCCAAACAGCCAAGACCTACTCCACAGGGGGGGGAGGGGGGGGGTGCGAGGGCACGCGCCGATCGGTAAACGAATGAATAAAAAGCGATCACATGCACAATACAGGGCAGTTTTTTATACATTGGATTTGTGTAAAATATAAGATTTTAATACATGACTAATGTATGAATAAATGTATGCATGAACTCATCGTTGTTTTTAATTTGAGGGAGTTTCTGTGGAACTCACGTCATCCTCACCCCCGGCGCGAAGAGCACGAGTCCAGAGCGGCCTCCGGCACCGTTTCCCGGACTGAGATCCGCTGGATCCGCTGGATCCGCTGGATCCGTGACGAATCCCAAACCGGCGCCCTCGCTTGAGACATCCTCACAAAACCGGCCCCGGGGGAGGTGCCCAGAGGAGCCCAGAGCGGCCTCCGGCACCGTTTCCGGACAGATCCGGTGGATCCGCTGGATCCGCTGGATCCGGTGACGAATCCCAAACCGGCGCCCTCGCTTGAGACATCCTCACAAAACCGGCCCCGGGGGAGGTGCCCAGAGGAGCCCAGAGCGGCCTCCGGCACCGTTTCCGGACAGATCCGCTGGATCCGCTGGATCCGCTGGATCCGGTGACGAATCCCAAACCGGCGCCCTCGCTTGAGACATCCTCACAAAACCGGCCCCGGGGGAGGTGCCCAGAGGAGCCCAGAGCGGCCTCCGGCACCGTTTCCGGACAGAGATCCTGGATCCGCTGGATCCGCTGGATCCGGTGACGAATCCCAAACCGGCGCCCTCGCTTGAGACATCCTCACAAAACCGGCCCCGGGGGAGGTGCCCAGAGGAGCCCAGAGCGGCCTCCGGCACCGTTTCCGGACAGATCCGGTGGATCCGGTGGATCCGCCGACGAATCCCAAACCGGCGCCCTCGCTTGAGACATCCTCACAAAACCGGCCCCGGGGGAGGTGCCCAGAGGAGCCCAGAGCGGCCTCCGGCACCGTTTCCGGACAGATCCGCTGGATCCGCTGGATCCGCTGGATCCGGTGACGAATCCCAAACCGGCGCCCTCGCTTGAGACATCCTCACAAAACCGGCCCCGGGGGAGGTGCCCAGAGGAGCCCAGAGCGGCCTCCGGCACCGTTTCCGGACAGATCCGCTGGATCCGCTGGATCCGCTGGATCCGGTGACGAATCCCAAACCGGCGCCCTCGCTTGAGACATCCTCACAAAACCGGCCCCGGGGGAGGTGCCCAGAGGAGCCCAGAGCGGCCTCCGGCACCGTTTCCGGACAGATCCGCTGGATCCGCTGGATCCGCTGGATCCGGTGACGAATCCCAAACCGGCGCCCTCGCTTGAGACATCCTCGCAAAACCGGCCCCGGGGGAGGTGCCCAGAGGAGCCCAGAGCGGCCTCCGGCACCGTTTCCGGGACAGATCCGCTGGATCCGATCCGGTGACGAATCCCAAACCGGCGCCCTCGCTTGAGACATCCTCACAAAACCGGCCCCGGGGGAGGTGCCCAGAGGAGCCCAGAGCGGCCTCCGGCACCGTTTCCGGACTGGATCCGCTGGATCCTGGCCGACGAATCCCAAACCGGCGCCCTCGCTTGAGACATCCTCACAAAACCGGCCCCGGGGGAGGTGCCCAGAGGAGCCCAGAGCGGCCTCCGGCACCGTTTCCGGACAGATCCGCTGGATCCGCTGGATCCGCTGGATCCGGTGACGAATCCCAAACCGGCGCCCTCGCTTGAGACATCCTCACAAAACCGGCCCCGGGGGAGGTGCCCAGAGGAGCCCAGAGCGGCCTCCGGCACCGTTTCCGGACAGATCCGCTGGATCCGCTGGATCCGGTGACGAATCCCAAACCGGCGCCCTCGCTTGAGACATCCTCACAAAACCGGCCCCGGGGGAGGTGCCCAGAGGAGCCCAGAGCGGCCTCCGGCACCGTTTCCGGACAGATCCGGTGGATCCGCTGGATCCGCTGGATCCGGTGACGAATCCCAAACCGGCGCCCTCGCTTGAGACATCCTCACAAAACCGGCCCCGGGGGAGGTGCCCAGAGGAGCCCAGAGCGGCCTCCGGCACCGTTTCCGGACATCCGGTGGATCCGTGGATCCTGGATCCGGTGACGAATCCCAAACCGGCGCCCTCGCTTGAGACATCCTCACAAAACCGGCCCCGGGGGAGGTGCCCAGAGGAGCCCAGAGCGGCCTCCGGCACCGTTTCCGGACAGATCCGATTGGATCCGCTGGATCCGGTGACGAATCCCAAACCGGCGCCCTCGCTTGAGACATCCTCACAAAACCGGCCCCGGGGGAGGTGCCCAGAGGAGCCCAGAGCGGCCTCCGGCACCGTTTCCGGACAGATCCTGGATCCGCTGGATCCGGTGACGAATCCCAAACCGGCGCCCTCGCTTGAGACATCCTCACAAAACCGGCCCCGGGGGAGGTGCCCAGAGGAGCCCAGAGCGGCATCCGGCACCGTTTCCGGACAGATCCGGACAGATCCGGTGGATCCGCGCCCCGGGGGAGGTGCCCAGAGGAGGAATGAGGAGGAGGAGGAGGAGGAGGAGGAGGATGAGGAGGAGGAGGAGGAGGAGGAGGAGGAGGAGGAGGAGGAGGAGGAGGAGGAGGAGAAGATGATGGAGCTGCGGGGTGGAGGAGGACAGACGGAGGCAAGAGAAGGATGGAGGAGGAGGAGGAGGAGGAGGAGGAGGAGGAGGAGGAGGAGGAGGAACCTCATCACCCTCGCCAACAAGCGCACGCACCTTCTTCTATATACAGAAACTCCCGATCAACCGCAGAGCGGCCGGCTAGTACAAAATCCCTGCATCTTTATTACATGATCCGCACGCGGAGCATGTATTAAAAACGGCACTGTAAAGCTTTCACACTCGCTCTGACATGCCTGCAGTCTTCGGGTGCGCCCGTGGCTTCCGCAAGGTGCCACACGTCTCGGAGTACCTCGTCACCTTCTCGGCAGGGTTTCTGACCTGCGGTCCTGCATCGAGGGGCAAGGCCGTACTGGTGCGCTGTATCAGCCGATCTGCTGTTGGGTGCGCGAGCTTGTCGCGCATCCTTTGGCGACCAAGTGATGCTTGGAGATCGGCGCCGAACTGCCCCAGTTCAGACGGAAACAAGACAGTGAAGTCTCTCGGGTGTGACTGGACGGTCGTTGTTGCAGACGAGCTCGCGTCGCTCAGGGGTGCAACATCGCAATCGGGCGTCTCCGCCGGAGTGTCTGCAACGCTCTTAAGAAAGGCGCGGGGAACCAGTCCTGACCCGCACTCAAGGCCTTCATCTTGGTCGTTATGCCTGTGGTGTTAAAGTATGGTGTCCTGTTCTAGATCGAGCGCTGCATTTTAGGCTGCTGCTTCCAAACAAGAAAGGCGTCGCCGTTGCTTGCTCGGCGCTTTTCTCCTCACCCTTCTCCTTCCCTTTCCTGCGGGTGCGGACACTGGCTGACCCAGTGTTGTGGGCTGCAACACCTTCAACATCCTTTCTGCTGCCGTGTTAGCCTTGCTCGCTCCATCAAACCCAAGTCGGTTCCCGCCGGCAAGTTGCCAAGCTGTTGCTCCGTAAGCTGTGCGTGGTGATTAGAATCAACGGCTTGACAAAACTTCCCATCGCTATGAAGCTGTCCTGGCTGGTCTGCCTCATGCAGCAGGCATAGCAACTCGTTGACGCAGTCCTTTGCCCCGCTGTAGCTCCAGCCAGTATGCGAAACGGATGGCGTGTGCCGCGTCGTCCTGTGTTCTGTTATTTGCCTGCATGGACTCTACCTGCTAATAAATACTTCAGCCCCAGTGGCCCAGTTCCACGGGGTCGCTGCTGAGATGAGCCATGTCTCGCAGTTACTCTGGATCGCTTAATTATCGCCCCCCCCTTGGAGTGCCCCGGGGGGTTGGCCGCGGCGCGTCCGCGGGGGTGCCACGGGGGTCTGGGATTCGTTCCCTTCCCCGCTGGGGCGTGGGGGTGGTGCCAGGAGGGGTTGGCCGCGCCGCGTTTTCACGTGTGTCACCCCCCGGCTGATTAACAAGAAGTTCGGAATAAGCCTGGCTGTTTGACATGCTGTTAGTAGAGAAGCGTCCAGACTTCACATGTGGACCCACAGTGTTGGGTTTTAGCTCCGGGCCCACATGCCATGCCAGCAAATATTCCTCGTGGCCGCCCACAGTTCGCCGATGAACCGATACTTCAACAGGTTTGCGCACTGGATCCCTCGAAGATTTCGGATGTCATGGCCGATGATGATCGCACGATCCAGGATCCCACGCGCGCTCAGAAGCCATGAAGCCGCAGTCTCGGATCGGTTCGGATCGAACTCGAGAGGTATCTTTTATCTCTCCTGGGCGCACTAGCTCTCAAGGGCCCTAGGGCGCGGTTCAAGACAGGATGGGGCAACCAAATGGGATGAGAGATGGGACCCCTAAAGGGTGGGACGTGCAAGGTTGACAGGGAGGTCCAACATTGGCGGGAGCTGCATGCGTGGGCGCCCACTTGGGCACGAAGCGTGCGAATGGGCGCGGGGCCTGGGCACCCGTTGGGGACGCAGAGGGAGCCCCCTATGGGGAAACAAAGCGCATGAGGGGGGGTGCCCGAAGCGGGGCGTTGCTGCACGTGTGGGTTGCTCTCTGGGGCCGCGTGTGGAGATCCCTGTGGGGGCGCGAGGCGTGTGATGGGGTGTCATGGCACAGGGCGGCATCGGTGTGCGCAACGGGGGCCGCAGGTGGAACGCACTACGGGAGCACGAGGCGTGTGAGAGGTGTGCCCGACGGGGCGCGAGGCGGCACAGGTGGGCGCCCACTGAGGCCGTCGGTGGAGCCCCCAGTGGGGGCACGAGACACATGAGGGGTGTGCCGAGATGGGTGGGGGGCGGCATAGGTGAGCGCCCACTGGGCCGTGGGTAGTGTGCCCTATGAAGGCAAGGCGCGAAGCGTCTGAGGGATGTGCCGAAGAAGCGAAGGCAGGAGAGAAGGAAGGTAGAAGCACGGAGAGAAGGGGGGAAGACGCAGGGCGTCAGCTTCGCCTCCCGTATTTCGCTCAGCAGCGCCAGGGCCCGTTGCCACTCCCGGCTCTTCTCGCACACGCTGATCGCAGCGTTGTAGCTGATGACGTCGGGCTCCAGCTTCATCTCCCACATCTCGCTGAACAGCGCCAGAGCCCGCTGCCATTGCATGCCTTTCCCGTACCCCCCAATCACAGGGATGTAGCAGGTGGGGCCGGGCTCCAACTTCGCCCCCCTCATGTTGCTGAGCAGCGCCAGAGCCCGCTGCCACTCCCCGCCCCTTCCGCACGCAATGATCACAGCCTTGTAAACGATTAGGGGCTACCTGTCCTCTGGGTCCGAAGTGAAGCAAAGTCTAAAAACGGTTCAACAGAAACCAAATGGGGGGACAACTAAACAACTAGAGATTCCCAACGCTGTAGTGATCATTTAGAAGACAACAAAAATTGCGGGGCAAACCGAACCGCCAGGTACATCCCCGCGACCGCCCTGGCGCCCTGCGTCCAACATGAAGCCTTTCAACCTCACAAAAGCAACGGGCGACACGCGTCACCTCCGAAATGATACAAACCAATTAATTGTAAATTTGGATTCTGGGAACCAACAAAAGGACATTCAGCTTCACAAATAAAAACACTGGTGACACGTGTCACCCCGGAAACCAATTGTAAATCTGGGATTCTGGGAGCCAGCATAAGGCCATTCAGCCTCACGGGAGCAACCGGTAACACGTGTCTCCCCCGAACCCGTCGGAGAAAAAACAATTACAAATCTGGGATTCATGAGGCTGTTTAGCTTCACAAAGAACAACGGGCGGCACGTGTCACCCTCGAAATGATACAAACCAATTGAAACATTTGGGGATTCTGAGAGCCATCATAAGGCCATTCAGCTTCACAAAGAACAGCGGGTGACACGTGTCACCCCCGAAATCGTGAGAGAAAAATTGTAAATCTGGGATTCTGGGAACCAACATGCGGCCATTCAGCCTCACAACAGAAACGGGTGACACGTGTGACCTCCGAAACCGTGTGAGAAAAAACAATTGTAAATCTGGAGTGCTGGGAACCACCATAAGGCCATTCAGCCTCACAAGAACAACCGGTGACACGTGTCTCCCCGGAGCCCGTCTGAGAAAACAAAAAAATCTAAATATGGGAGTCTGGGAGCCAACATAAAGCCAATTGACTTCGCAAAAAACGGGCTACACGTGTCACCCCCGAAACCGTGAGAGAAAAACAAATTGTAGATTTGGGATTCTGGAGCCATCATAAGGCCACTCACCCTCACAAAAACAACGGATGACACGTGTAACCCCCGATACCGCGTGAGGAAAACCAATTGTAAATTTGGGGTCCTAGGAGCCAACATAAAACCATTCAGCCTCACACCGCGCGCGAGAACTGGACGCCACCGCGCGCACGCGCACGCGCAGTCGCGAGCGTACGTACGTACATTGTTCCAGTAAGACGCACACTACCGACTCGTTGACCGAAGCAGCCTGCACATCTGCACGCATGCAGTTCATGCGCATATGAAAGTGCATGCGCGTGCGTGCGTGTGTATACACATGTATGCACACAAACATACACGGGTGCATTTATTAATCGCATCGTTCGGTCCCCGTGGAATGTTTTCCAGGGGGGACAATTGAGAAAACAATTATTCGGCGGAGGGTTAATGGTAGTAGGGATCCGGGGCGGGGGAGGGGGGGGGTCATAAGTGTTGAACAGGTTTGGGACATTACCGAATCCCTGAGAGAAATGGTAAACTGCTCAAAGCGGACACTAGTGTCGCCCTCAGAGCGTACTGGTTACCTGAAGTACAAAACTACACAGGACAGGCCTGGTGGGAAGAAGTGTTCCATACTGGCAGGTGTAGTTCACAAAAGAAAAATTGTGCAGTCATTTGCTCCTTAAAACATGTTGCAGCCATCGCGGCCTATGCTTCACAAGAGCGCACCTTGTGAAATGTTCCCCAGCCTCGCCGCAGAGATAAAGGAGTCAGCGATGGTTGCCGCCTCGAGGCAAACAAATGTCGAGCGGACAGCTAGAAGGCCCAGCTACGCGAGGGACTGTACGAAGGGTCAGCTGTAAGGGCAAAAAGGTGGTCCCAAACTGCACGGGGAAAGTCGACAGGCATGCACGTCAGAGGAAGAGCGTGTTGACGTCGACTTGCGCACAACGAACTCGTTGCCGATGACGCCGCAGGAATACACAACACTGCAAAACAGATCTAAGCAGCGCAAACCTAGGATACGATCCACAGACCAGGGACTGGGGGCTGCGCCCTCGGTGGGACTCTCACCCCCGCACTGAGACGTCCGCCACGTCTCGAATCCCGGAGTGCAGAAGTGTCGATTTCATCCGGGCAGGACGTGATCCTTGGCCCTGGCGCCAATGAGCGCACTGCAACATCAACACGGTAGCGTCGAGCTCACCGGAAGCAAACACCAGTGGTCCCAGCGCGGTGGCTGGGTCCACACCGACCAAGAATCAGCGTCTCCCTCGCGTCCCCCGATTCTGTAGACGCGACCGTAATGCCTGCGAGAACTCTCATATCCACAGACATGGCCAATCGCCCCGGCCGCATGAGGTACACGGCGTAGGGGGATAATGCGCTCTCAACGCCCGCCCCCCCGTCCACGAAAGCTGATTCGCATGCAAGGGTGATGATCTCTCATGGGCACATTCCTGCTAGGCTGACAACGTTCTGATCGCATGCTGGCCCGCCTGTCTGATGTCAAACCCCCACGTGGCACCGCAGGGGCAAAAACTTTGCAGCCGCCCTGGGACAGGCGCCCCCGACGGCGAAGAGGATTATGCTATACTGCTCTCCGCCGGCCAGCTGGCCGATGCCTGTGGATCGAACGACCGAGCCGACTCGGAGCGACGACGCGGCACACACACACACACACGCACACACACACACACGCACACGCACACGCACACACACACACA